CGACAGACGCGGTCTTTCCCTTTCTGGTAATATCGCGGACCGGCACCGGCACGGTAGGCCACGTCACGTCATGATGGTGGTTCTGTGCGCGATGTATGGGAGAGTACGTACATACCAGTATACGTACATATTACTACTATGGTTAGTATAAGCACAGTCGTCTGCTCACAGTAAGGAGGAGTAAGGAGGGGTCAGAGAGTCGGGGAGACGGGGAGACGGGGAGACGGGGTCCCGAGGTATGAGATATCTATATGTAAGGATCTAGTGGCAACCTCGATCTTTTATATATAAATGCTGTAATATCCTGTATATTTTTTTATCTCAGCAACCCAGAAAGTATTCTACATCTATTCACATCTATACACATCTATACACATCTATACACATCTATACAATACCTATATATATCTATTTATATCTGCCATCTCGGCCTCATCATACGCTACAATGAAGGACAATGGCACCCATCTCTACCCAAATGAGCAAGTCTCCGAGAAGGTTACCGACTATGCCTTTGAACACTCCACCAAGCTTCCAGAGTATATCACGAAGCACCATGCTTGGGGTTCCGACCAACCAAAGGCGGGGTTCATGATCTCGCCCTTCCAGACCCAGTTCCAGATCTGGTTTGCAAAGGCACTCGGGGCCAAGAGAAGTATGCACGTCTAATATATCCTGTCGTTACAACCTGGCGGATCTTATATCCTGTGCCGCACACACTCTGTTCCACCAACCCCAGAATTGCCATAGTCTGGATTCCTCGCCCAGGAGCAAATAGTGTTGATATCTCGATATTTTAATTTGACTGTCTTAGGGACGACAGTGCTAACTTATACCAGTCCTCGAGATTGGTTGCTACATCGGTTTCTCAGCCCTTGGCTTTTCCGAAGCAGTCGGCCCAGATGGTCACGTCACAACTCTCGAGTTTGACCCGGAATACGCTCAGATTGCACGTGAGACCTTCGAGAAGAATGGCGTGAAGAACGTTGAGGTCATCGTTGGAGATGCTAACAAGAGGTAATCTATTTACTTTCCTCGTCTATAAATATAAATGCCTAGACTGACCACTTCCAGTATTCCCGAGCTGGCCCTGGCCATCGACCAGCCGTATGATCTGATCTTCATCGATGCAGACAAGATATCCTACCCCAATTATCTCTCTCTCATCCTTTCACTTTCAACATCCACTAGCAAAGTCCGCCTTCTCAAGTCTGGAGGCACAATCATGGCGGATAATATCCTTCGCCGTGGTGTTGTCGCTGACAGGAGCTCCTCAAACCCAAATGCCACCCCTGAAGAGCTTTCAACTGAGAAGGGGGGAAAAGCCGAGCAGTTGGTCGCTCTGGATAGGTTCAACAAGGGCCTTGTTCAGAACGAGCGATTTGAGACCTTCTTGCTTCCACTATTTGATGGGCTGGGAATGGGGAGGTTGAAGGATTAGTAAAGCTACGCGTATAGTTAATACTATATAGTCTACCCGTATCGAGCAAAGACCTGCCAAAAATATAGTTGCGCCAACATCTTTGTCTACCTCTCATTGGTGTCATTCTCCTATTTAGTCACTTGCACCAAATCCAAGTGTGATGTAGCCACAATTATAAACGGATTTCACCACTGATGAGTCGACAAATGTTCAAATGATAGCTTTAGACTACATGCCGAACTAAAACACCTGACAAACAAGAGCGCCATCTGTGTATTCTAGGTCGGCACACCATGAGAACAAGCTTGTACTGGTTTTCTATGAGCTGCCAATCCGACCATCTCAAGCTCTTGTACCAACTCCACCCCCCGAGCAATTCTCTTTTGGCAGTTCCAAACAACGAACCAATACCCACAAGTATCGAGATACCTTGACACCATCTGCTCTCGGTATTGCCAGCCTTTTTTCCAGGTAATGGTGATGTTGGATCCTTCCCATGTGTGACTGCCTTCTCTTCAGATGATGACCCTGGCTGGCATCAGTTGGTCAACTGCGAGCCATAGTTGTCGCAATGGCGAATCCAAGCAATCCACCCGTTCCTCTCAGACCTTTCCGCATTGCCTAGGACCGTGATAGGCTCAATAACTATTCGGATACGTTGTGACATCTTCTTCTGTGCGCTATTTAGGTGACCCAAAGCCTTTAGTTGTTGCTTTCTTACTTTTTCAAGCGTCTTGTCTTGGACCCTGCTGGCTTTGGTTTGGACCTTGTTGGCCTTGATTTGGGCCTTGGTAGGCTGTAGTGGTGTCACAGCTACTTTGGCGTATGCTACAACTTCTTCCCCAGTAAAATCGATGGGCCCATAATTTGCCTCTCCGGCCTCGATTCCCCATGTGTTGGATAAGTGGTCGACATGTCCTTCGTGGTATAGATCCATGAACTCCATGCCAAGGCCTTCCCCTGGTATATCGACCCTCATAAGGAGACCCTTAGGGCGAAACAAATTATTCTGGGATGCCCGAACATATTCGAAAACCTTGGAAAGCGATTTTTGGAAGTCGAGTTTCTCGGATTTCCCGCCACGCCCACCAAACGAAAAAACCATGCGAATTGGAGTCTTCTTCTTCTTCTTCTTACGCTGGGGGCTAATAAGTGAGGCCAGATGAGCTGTAAATTTGTTCCAGTCTTCCTCGAGTATCTCATAAGCAGCCAGCCCGGGCGGGTAAGGGAAGCCGTCGGTTATTCGACTCTGCGAAGGGACTTGAATACCAGTCTGGTATGGTTTGGTGGATGATGGAATGATCGCTGAAGGGCGCGTGGTTCTGGTGAGGGTGTCCCCGGGCGTCAGTTCCACAGTCTTGGCCTCTTCCTTCTGCCTCACGACTGGGGTAACATGGGTTTCTTGAATGCCGTCCATAGCGCCTGGGATAGATGGCGCAGGCGCTGTTACTAGCACCGGTGCTGCGGTTGAACTTCTGGACAGTTTGGAAGGGAAAACAGCTCCAGTTTCGGGCTTTGGTGTGGCGTCTCTCGTCATGATATGTACGACGGTGTCTACTGCTTCTTGTTCTCCTGGTGAAGTAAATCGCGGCGGCGCTCCGTCGCTATCCTGTGCAGAGATTTAGTTTCATGGTCTCCTTGAATCTATATTTGCAGTACAACTGGCTGGTGTTCGGCGCCAGTGTGCATTACGTACCGAATGAGACTTTGGGTGGATAATAATGTGAGCGGTCGACATTAGACCTATTTTCAGACCTGCGAGGGAGCAGGTTACTGCGTATTTGGCCTTATCTGTTGAGGAAATGGATTGTAAGGTTGCAACCTGCCAATGGCGATGTGAACAGGATGCAGATAATAATGTGGTAATATAGGAGAGTTGTGTGTGAGATACTTAGGTATGCGAGCTGCGTAATGAATGAAGATGAAGATCAAGACGAAGGAGAGTTGACTCGAGAAAGAGAGAAAGAGGAAACGGGTTTGAAAGTTGCAGAAAGCCACATAAGTTGGCAGGCACGAGTGGCTGCTTGACCATTGGACCTTCCTTGAACTTTTGGTGAAGTAGCTATCTAACTACGATACACAGAGGATGCACCGGTGAATTATTATTCGTTTCATGCGCCATCAAAATCATAAATCCCCCAAACCGCCATAATTACGACCCAGGACTCCTTCGCTACGTGAAATGACACTGTACCCTCTCCCAACGGCCTTTATCTTCTCTCCCTGTCCGGCCGTGCCCTGCTTCGGCTGCGACTGCGACCGCTGCTGTAGCTGCTGTAACTCGAACTTCTCCTTCGAGTCCCATTACCGCCTTCCTTATCTCGCCTCCCACCGCGCCTCCTCGGGGATCTTGACCTGGATGAGTAGGTTCTGGAATGGCTCCTGCGCGGCCTTGGCGAACGAGACCTGGACAGTGACCGTGGTCGATAAGTATCTGACGGAGCACCTCTGTTGAAATTTCTGTTTGGAGATCGACGCCTTGGTGGTGGTGGGCCTCGAGCGTCCATTCGTGCTCGTGGTTCAATATTTGCGCCGCCCCGTCTTGCCAGTGGCGGTGCTGGTGAGAACTTGCGTCTCGGAATGACAATAGACACGCTTATCACAGCTCCATCCAATTGCGCCTCATGCATATGGGCAATCGCCTGGTCGGCGTCGGCTTCAACCGCGTATAGAAGGTAAGCTGTGCCACGGTTTGTACCGACTGTACGGGTTAGAATGGTCCTATTGAGAGCTGACACAACTTACATTGTCTGTTCATGGGCATATCCATATCGATAATCTCACCGAAGCTCCCAAACAGCTCTCTGAGATGGTTCTCATTTATGTTCTTGGTGAGTCTCTCAACCACGATCTGGAACCAGTCAGTAACAACTTCGTCTGTAGCACGCGATAGCGCATTGTAGGGCGCAGATAAAGATAAGTGCGGATTTCATACCTTTGTGCTTTTCACATCTGGACTTGGGCTGCGTGATATGCTCCTGGTGGCTCTGCGGCCTCCATTTCGATCATATGAGGGGGATCGTGAGCGGCGGGGTGATATAGATCGCCGGTGCAAGGGTGGTGGAGAGCGAGAATTGTCCAGACGAGGTGAAAGAGAGCGCATGCGTTCGCGCCCACGAGACGAAGAACGTGGAGGCATCGCAGGTCCAAAACCATATGGTTTTGGATGAATTGCTTCGCAAAATGATCGGAGAATAGGGTCGTACACAAGGAGGATGTGTAAAGGTTGTTGATGTGTTGTATATTGGGTATTGTGTTCTGCCGTTTGAATGCGATGTGAAGTTAACGGCGCGGCTGTGGATTGAGCCTTGGACTGAACGCGTCAGAAGAGCCAAGCTCCATGAGCACCCAGATTTAATTGCTCGCTTATCTGGAACTACTCCACCATGATGACGCGGGGCAAAATTAAGGATTTATGCTGAACTCAAGGGCCCTTTATGCTTGGAATAAAGCTAGAACAATTGTCGGTGCCAATTAGATCAGATGGCAGTATTGATTAATAGTCGCCCGGCTCAGGCAACAAAAAAAAATATCCTCAAATAGCAAAAGAATTTGCTCCCATGAGGAGCTGGTCACGTGCCCACATACGGAGTTGAACCGTAGACCTCGGCATGTCCAGATCACGTGATCCGATACTAGTGCCGCGCTCTACCAACTGAGCTATGGGGGCTGATAGTTATTATAGGCACGAAAATTATGACTCTTAAGCATCGTACGCAATACCATCAGCCTCAAACAACAATAACAATGGCATTTGGAAATCCCATGCTTCGGTTACAGGGCCATAAAACTTGCTTTTTGGACTTCAAAACATCATTGTCACCCTGCCTGTCATTCATTCTTTGAGCCTTATATTCCCTTTAGTTATTTTTATCGAACTTTACTCCTTATCACCTCTCCCAATCCATCTCTATCATCTCCATCATTATCACGGAGACCTAGATCCCGAATCGGGGCTGACTAAAAAGGTACAAAGGCAGGATTCGCACGTGATAAAGCTGGAGCTGGAGCGCGACGCCAACAATGAATTGAGCTGAGCTGAGCTTCTGGCGTGTGTAAGTTTTGGGGCCAGCATGTGGCGCATACCATTTGTGTCCAGGCTCAACCTGTAAGTCTTCTGGCTGTGGAGGAAACGGGTGAACAAGCGCTGATAAGGGGTAGGAGCGAGTATGTAGCACTCGTAGTCTCCTTCGTCTTGGTTGGGCTGGAAGCACTTATTCGAGTCCTCACTCTCGCGCTGCGTATGATACCCCCTCCCGCGCTCCTGTACAAGATCTCCATGGCTAATGATTTATAGCCACGAGTATAATATCCCTGTGTTATCGAGCGTCGAAACGTCTATTCCACTATTCTACATCCACAGCAGCAAAGAAGTCGGTATCCAGGCAAAGCTGTATGTACTCCGTATCCCATTGGTAATTATAGGACTGACATTATTGCTACAGCCCGGTCGAGCGCCATCCGTGATGCTTCCGATTTTGTCGACCTATGCGCACTGTCAGGCTACCTGGCGGAAGAGCATGTAGTGCAGACTTCAGATGGATACTTGCTTGGGCTCCACAGACTTGGCTGGAAACGAGGAGAGGAGGGTGTTAGGGTCAATTCTTCAAAAGGCGGCATAAAAAAACCGGTGGTATATTTACATCATGGGCTGCTTATGAATAGCGAAGTATGGGTGTGTCTGACCGACGAAGAACGCTGTCTGCCATTTCACCTTGTGGAAAAGGGGTACGATGTCTGGGTATGTGTATCCTACCTGTTGATATAGTCTTGGGATTTACTGACCGTTCATAGTTTGGAAACAACCGTGGGAACAAATATTCCAAGAAATCTATCCATAACCCTCCGACAGCAATGGCATTTTGGGATTTCTCAATGGACGAGTTTGCTTTTCATGACATTCCGGATAGTATCGACTACATCCTCTCTACGACCTACCAACCGTCGCTGTCATATATTGGATTCTCGCAAGGAACGGCACAGGCTTTTGCAACGCTGTCAATACACCCAAAATTGAACGACAAAGTCAACGTGTTTATAGCGCTCGCACCGGCGATGTCCCCAGCAGGATTAAGGAACGGCGTCGTCGACTCGCTGATGAAAGCTTCTCCTGAGGTTCTGTTCCTCCTTTTTGGCCGTCGCTCTATTCTGAGCTCAACGACGATGTGGCAGTCTATCCTGTACCCTCCAATATTTGTGCGTGCCATCGACACCTCCCTGGCCTTCCTTTTCGGCTGGTACGGCAAAAACATCTCCATGGCTCAGAAGCTCGCGGCATACCCCCATCTCTACTCCTTCACCAGCACCAAGAGTGTAGTCCACTGGTTCCAAATCATCCGCACCGCCTCCTTCCAACTCTACGATGATGATGTCCAACCTCCACTACGCCTCGGTAGCGTCAGCAAATATACCAAGGTTGCCCGCTTCCCAACCCGCAACATCAAGACCCCTGTCGTCCTCGTCTACGGTGGCTCTGACTCTCTAGTTGACATCAATGTCATGCTGAAGCAGCTCCCTTCCCACACCGTGGCCACCGAAATTCCGCACTTCGAGCATCTCGATCTCCTGTGGGCCCGCGACGTCGATACCCTCGTCTTCCCGCACGTCATAGACGCCCTCGAGAGCTTCTCTGACTCTGGGCATACTGAAGAGCACTTCGCCAAGTACCGTGCCGCACGCCATGCCTCCCTTGGACCGGGAGCGCGGCGCCCTCATAACCCAACAGAGTCGACCTCCAAGTCTCTGGGCAGCAGCTATGCTGATGTAGCACCAGTTACCCCCGACATTGACGACGGCGATCTCATCTTGGATGGACCTCGTCGGAATATCGAGGGCGCGATGCCTTCTCTTGCAAGTCGTAGGGAGATAAGGGGGCGTACGGGGAGCGAGAGGATTGAATACGACTCAACCTCGTCGTCTGAGATAGCACATGTCACAACTTCCCGGGCCACGGAAGATGAGGAGTGAGGCGGCAGATTGTCTGCGAGTGTGTGGGGATACATATAAGATCAATCTGATCGATCGCTTGTATATTTGGATAAGATACATGTATATATATATTTGTTAGATATTGTTCCCAATGGCAGGAGCGTGATCTGGAACGTGGTTCTAGATTGGAGGACCAGGGGCCAGTTTGACGATTAATGAATTAATGAATTGATGAATTAATGAAGACTATGCACGATCGACGGCAACATTTTAGAACCCCCACGTGCGTTCATGGCACATGTCTACTACATGTCTCGCGGCTACAGTACCAGTCGGACCCTTGGAGTCTTGTCGTCGTCGTGTTGTCTCATAGTCGTGTCAGTAGTGTCAGTAGTGTCAGTAGTGTCGGTATCGTCGGTCTCGCCGTCTCTGATCTGTGTCTAATCGTCATCGACGTCATCTGACCATGAAATCCAACGCCGTCAACGCCGCCAACGCCGTCAACAACCATCCCACAGATCCCAGAGCGATCAGTCCTTTAGTACATACTTTAGTATACCCGATGAGCAAATGCATCTGCCCAAATCCCCCAAATCCCCCAAAACGACCCAACGATCGATCCCCGATGAGTGTCACTGGTTCCACGGATGTATGTATAGTACGAGTAAGTGTATGGTTCATATTGCCATATTACCATACTTGGACCATACTACTACTCCGTACTCTACTCCAAATATGCACGCGTACTACATACTGTCACTTACTTACTAGACTTATGCACTGTAACGATGTAACCGCTTCTCCATTCCCCCATTCCCCCATTTCCTTCATTTCCCCCATTTCTCCAAACATCATCTTTCCAACTACTATAGTACTCTACCTATCTACCTACTACCTACCTACTACCTACCTACTACCTAACCTACCCGCTTGGCTCCGTCTCTTATTCGGTCCTCCTATATTTCCCCCACCATCCCTCCTCTCACTCTCTCCCTCTCTCACTCCCTCTCTCACTCCCTCTCTCCCTTTCTCACTGTTATACTCCCCGCCATCATTATCGCGACCGATATACAGTTATACAGATGGCTTCCTATTCTCTTCCTCCTTGATGAGTTGCAGAGTCCTCTACTCTACCAAATATACTCTTTGGATTCACTCTGCGGGTCAACAAATCCACCTTTCAGTACCCTTCCCACCCCTAACCCAGAACCACTAAAAAATCCCAATTCTACGACTTGCCCCACCGATACCGACACCATAGACACCACCAACCCCACCAAAACTACGAGGCTTTTACGGTTTACAGGGCATATTCCTTGTCGCTGCTAATCGACCCTCACTAACTCAACCTCGACGTTGTTGCCACGATTATGGCTGCGGCCGCGATCACACAAACTGGCGCCCGCTTCCCTGGCATCGCCGCTCTCTTCGAGAAATCTTCCATCTCCTCGAGCGACTCGGTCAATGCAAGCCGCAAAAAGGACGCCGTCGCCAACATGTTCTTGTCCAATGCGGCCACTCGCAATCCGCCCGGCGATCTGACCAAGGGTTTAGTGGAGAAGCATCTCGGTGGCAGTTCCAAGACGCTGCGTCTTCAGGACTTCAAGTTGTTGAGGATCCTCGGGACTGGGACATTCGCGCGGGTTTGGCTGGTCAAACTCGCGCACCCAATGCAGGGAGCCGAGGACCGGGTGTTCGCATTGAAAGTCCTACGGAAAACTGAGGGTGAGCAGCGCTTCAACACTTCCTTTGCGGGGTCTGACGTCGAACAACACTGACATTGTGCAACAGTAATCAAGCTCAAGCAAGTCGATCACGTCAACCACGAACGGGCCATCCTGGCAGATGTTGCCGGCTACCCCTTTATAACTACATTAATTACCACATTTACGGACTCGGAATGCCTCTACATGCTTGTAAGCTGCTATTCCCAGGTCGCATCCATACCCACATATCGCTAACTCTATTCCTCCTCAGCTGGATTACTGCCCTGGCGGCGAAATATTCAGCTACCTGCGACGCCAGCGCCGCTTCCCCGAACACGTCTCACGCTTCTACCTCGCTGAGATCGTCCTAATCCTTGAGTTCCTGCACGAGCGCGAGGGCGTCGCCTACCGCGACCTCAAGCCCGAGAACATCCTCCTCGACGCCGCGGGACACGTCAAGCTCGTCGATTTCGGCTTCGCGAAGCGCGTGCGCGATAGTACGCCCTCCTTTCCTTACCGTCCTATTCTCTCTTCCTCAAAACGGGTCATGCGGCGGTTGACCCGAAGCACGGTGGATGCGGATACTTATTATGGTGGTGGGTTGGCGCAGTCGGCGCTCGGATGGCTATATAGTCGTAGTGTTGTCGCCAACAGCTGCTAACTTGTGGAAATAGGGGAAACATACACTCTCTGCGGAACTCCCGAGTACCTCGCTCCCGAAGTCATCCAGTCCCAGGGCCACTCGACCGCCGTTGACTGGTGGGCCCTCGGCATCCTGATGTACGAGTTCATCACTGGGTATCCGCCCTTCTGGCACCAGAACCCGATGGAGATATACAAGCAGTGCGCAATTCCCCCCATCGCCCCCCGACCCCCGATCACCACGCTAACCATCCCCAGGATAATCCACAAATCCATCACCTTCCCCCCGCACGACCCCCCCATCTCGAGCGACGCCCAGGATCTCATCCTAGCGCTCTGCACAGTCGACCGCTCGCACCGCCTCGGCAACCTCTCCGGCGGCGCCGCAGACGTG